CGCCAGAATCGTATTGCCATGGACCGATCTGTTCGCTACATGCATCGTTCGGTCATTTAGTTTGAATTGTTCAGACCTTGTACAGTTTCCAAAAGAGCGAGTAACTAATCAGTATGTCAATCTTTTCGTATTTTTCTGTGTTAAAAGTAAATTTGTTTGCATAAATTCAGTTATAATGTGTATTTGGTAGCTTCCGCCAAATAAGAAGCAGAGTGAATACTTTTGATGTGGCTGAGACAAATTGGAACTTTTTCAGTTATATTGTGTAATAGTCACCAACTGGTTTAAAGACTTATTGTGCTTTTCCGTCAACTTTGCCTATTTTGGGGGATTGATGAAATCGCCAATTAATCGAGCAAAGGAGAATGATTGGCTATAAAGAATTAAGGTTGCAATATGATTGGCTAAACATATTGATTGATGCATTGCAGTCACAAAGATACCTCTTCAACTCAGTTTTATATGAAATTTCGAAGGTCCGGCAATTGTTCGTCGGTTGATTCAACCAAGTGCCGGAGGAAATTATGAGTACAACACACAATACAAGGCTTGAGAAAAGCGTCATCAAAGTTTGTCCGTTTTCGACATATGCGCATGTCGACATGTCGTCGGAGTACAAAAAGGCATGCACACGCGCAATAAAAATATTACATCCACAAAACTAATGGAAAATCCGGAACTGAACTGTTTTCAAAGTGAAACGGCGCGCATATTTTCGCCAGTTCCGGGTCTGGATGCCACAAGAAATGGCATAAAATGGCCGTTTTTCGAAGAAAAGTTGCCAAAATCGAAATCTTCCATTTTTCGAAATTTTGTACGTCTGGATGTCACCAAAGTGCATTACTTTATCCCACAATTTTCTTGAGAATCGGGTGTTTTATGGCATAAATAAAATGGACCGATTTGGTCCAACTTTTTTATGGAGGTTTGTGGTCACGTTGAAGTCTTGCACTTCAATCGGAAATCGAATATGTCTTCCAAAATTCAGCTGGTATCCAGACAACTTTGTAATTAGATATTGTGAATTCGCTATAAACTTCCAAAATTCACCTGGTTTGAGCCTGTATTCGTATATTCCTTTCATCTCATTTGACTCTTACTAGTAAGAGTGATCCTTGCCCAAGGGCATTTTGGTGAAGTGCCATCATTTTGTTCACATAAACCGGACTTTTCAACAGGACCCGACGAAACTTGTCCAGTATGCCAATGCGACCAAAACGGCATCCCTTCATCAAAAGCGGGAAGTCCAACGCTACTATTCCTTACCAGGTGACCGCACTATTACACAAACATTCGCGCGGGCACTGCATGAGTACTGTATTGTGCCCCGTGACAGTCTGATGAGCGCTTGTGAAAGTTGGTTTTTGTGTTTTGGCGGCGGACAATTTATGCGCGCCAAATGTTAATGAATTCCTTATATGGTCAATAAAAGGGAGGTGATTATCCTTCAAATCATAACCTTTCCACTTGAGTACCTGTAGAAGCCTACTAGTAGTATACTGGTATTTTACTAGGGCTGCAAAAATCAGGGGAGGACTGTACCCCACGCAAATGTAGCTGAAAAACGTTTAGGGCTGGTCTGGATGCCACCCCATAAAATTATGCCATAATCTGTTTTGGCAAGACTGCAAAATTTTCCCAAAGTCTGATACCCCATGAAAAAAAGGGAGAAAAGAAGTTTCTACAAAGTTGTCTGGATGCCAGCTGAGTTTTGGAAGACATATTCGATTTCCGATTGAAGTGCAAGACTTCAACGTGACCACAAACCTCCATAAAAAAGTTGGACCAAATCGGTCCATTTTATTTATGCCATAAAACACCCGATTCTCAAGAAAATTGTGGGATAAAGTAATGCACTTTGGTGACATCCAGACGTACAAAATTTCGAAAAATGGAAGATTTCGATTTTGGCAACTTTTCTTCGAAAAACAGCCATTTTATGCCATTTTTCGTGGCATCCGGACCCGCCCTATATAGCCAATAATGTCGATTCAAATGAGTTATATGTTAAAACCAAATTACGTTATATTTTGAGTTCAACAAGCAATTGCCGCCAAAACCTTGGCGCTGAAAAGCGTGAGCACTGCAGCTAGAGCACTGCCAGCCACTCACTTTCCAATTTCAAAGCCATGTGCCACCACCGCCATCAACGCTGCTCATGTTGTCGCCCGTCTTCGCGACCAGGCCACGTCCGATCTCACGTTCCTCGAGACGAGTCTTGAAGACTTCGGAGAGGCTGCCTGTCAAGGCATGGACATGGGTGAAGCCCAAGTAAATCCGATCATGGACAAGTTCGTTAACGTTCTTGGACCGGAGGGAATCCTTTCTCTGGCCAACTTCACTGTATCGGTGATCAAGTCCCTCTGGTCCATCGTCGATGATGCATTGAACGCCGCTTGGCTGGAAGGACGTGGCCGGAAGTCGACCACAAGCCCTAAGGACTGTCTGTTCATGACTCTCACGGTGTTGAAGCACTTTTGTTCATGGCAGAAGCATGCCCCTGACTTTGGCACCAACATTTGAGAAGATGATCATGCGTACTGGGTCGGTATGTTGGCGTGAGCATTCTCGAACTTAATGTACAAGTGCTAGTCGATTGAGCTTGTTCTGTCCAACAAGTTCATCGTGTGCCCATCCATGGCGACCTTGAATGAGACCGGCTGTCGTTTCACTAACCACGCGTACGCCAGCTATGCCGTGGAGGTGAAGTTCTAGCCATCGCTTCGGCCAACGGGCCGTTTTTCTGAGCAGAAACACTACTTCAGTGGCAAGCATCACCTGTATGACAACAAGATTGAAACCGCCGTCTCTCCCCATGGCCGCTGTGTGTCCATGTCCTACGTGCATCCTGGTTCGGTCCACGATCTGACCATCATGCATACTCGACGAGATGTGCACAAGGCCAACTTAACGAAGACACCCCGTGAAGGTGCCTTGCCGGACAACGGGGAGTTGTCGACCGACTTCCCGACATATTGCGCATGCCTTGTGGACATGGGCTACAGCGGAGGTTGCACATGAAGTTCGATTGTTACCTCAAAAGAGTCTCAAGTTTTAATATAGGAGAGTACGGATAATTTGTTCGGAAAATTGAGACTGGGTGGCATCGCTGTACAGTATGGTAGAACCCCGGCGCTTGTCCTCGCTATGTGTCATTCATTTGTAATAACGTTATCAAAAGTTGTTCATCATGACCAGTGAATTGTGCAATTTGGTCCCGAGAATAGCAGATATAACTTCCGATTTGCACTTTTCAAATGCGCAAAAGCGAGGGAGTTATGACCTCCCTATAATTACATTCTGTAACGAAACGTGATCCTAAATCACGGCACGGATTATCTAACTGTAAGGGCCTGGTCGGGGAACAGTTTTGTTCATGTCTCTGTCTGCCAGGCATACACGAAATCAATTTGATTGGCCGTCATTAACCGGTTTACGGATATTCTTCATGTCTGAACTGGTGATTCCAGACAGAGATGGATAATCCTTGCCTTTGACAGACATTCGTGTTTTAGTCAGTCAGCGAGGAGCTGGAGGTCCAAGCTACTACAATGAGCGACGTCGATGACAAGAGCAAAACGGCCCCAAGCATGATCAAAGGTATTCTAAAGC